TACGTGAAAGCATATTTTTTTTCACATACTGTTTCGAGTATACAAATTTTTACGTGTTTTATTGTATTAATACACTGTATACCATTAATTAACCATACCTTTATGCGCTAAGTCGCTTTGAGCTCTTAATTATGACGGATCTTGCTCTAAACTAAATGTCATTGAAGTTTTTTCCCTCTCATTTGAAATTGATATTTGTTATTCAATCAAGATGAGGAAATAATTAATTCTACTTTCAAAATATAATTTGACAAATCTCCAATTTGTGATTCAATTGCATAGGTACCTAGCTACATTTACATTTACCTTGTTTTGTCATATCACACACATATGCACATTAATTACTGCGAAATTCAACTGCAAACTCTTTATGAAGGAGTAAAAAGACACAGTGCTATTGTGAAGTCAAACACCATTGCTCTGACGTTGAACGACATAGCCCCCCCTTTTTTATAAAGATGAATTATTACATTTGAGCTCAAACAACAGTGTGAAAAAATTTGAAAATTCTAGGAATGAAATACGAGTCGCCCGCCTGAAAATTCAACACGCTAACCATTACGCTATCAAAGACCATCACATCAAAGTAGCAAGTAATGAATATCTAGAGTAAGCTTTAATCAATTTTTAAACAAATTACATATTTAGCATTCTGATAAGACTCTATTTAACCTATAAATATCTTTGAAAAATAATGAAAAACAAAAAAGTTCAAAAAATTACCCTTTTTAAATCACTTCCTGTGACGACCGGAAGTGGCGACGACACACGAAATGTTTCCATCACACATCTAAAAATCACATTCTATCATACCTGAAAGTTTCAGACTCCTACCTTTAACAGTTTCTGAGAACATTCACGGACTAGATTTTTAGTGGAAAAAGTGAAAAATTGTAATAATTCCTGATCGGAAGTAAATTTTTCACAACTTTTTCAATATTTCAAAATGGCATAAGATAACACATCATTCCTGAAAATTTGGCTGAACATCATTGAGAAGTTTTTGAGATATCGCGTTTTGAAAAGGTTAAAAAAATAAAAATGAAAAATAATAATAATAACTAGAAACTCATTGCGAACAATGAGAGGTCTTCCGTCCGGTTCTGAAAATAAAAACGAAAATTCAAGCTGAAAAAAGAGATAAAAGAAATTCAGACACTCTGGAGATTTAACTCTGGTCGTCAGCGTGAAAATCAAACGTGCTAACCATTAACCATTAACTTTTTTAGACCACTACTGGTCACGACCGGAAGTACCGGAAGTAACGGCTATACAAGATTTTCTCACTCTTCAAATAAACCGATGACTGTGAGATCAATTCTAATTTTGAGGACAGGTAAACACGAGACAGGAAGTGAATTTTATAAAAATCTCCAACTTTTCTCTAGACATTTGCAGAATACACAACATACATAAAGTCATTTCAAGTACTTTATCGATGATCAATATTTATGAGAAAGTTGAATATCAAAATAAAGTAGTTTATCTCCTAAAACCGGAAGTTGACGTTTTTGTTTCCGGTGGAATCTAACATATTTGAAAACAGCGAAAGAGATGCAATAAGGTTATGCAAGCTTTAATTTAAAAAAGAAAAGTTAATTTTTTTTTAGATTTCTTTGATCACTTACTGCGAAAAGCGGAAATGACGACTGACGCGTTTAACCCAAATGGTTTTGCCTACTCCTCAAGGTCTATTACTCATAAAAGTTTGGTGTTTTAATCTTACCTGGTTTCGAGATCTCGCTCAGACTTCACATTTTGAGGACAAGAAAACATGCGACCGGAAGTGAATTTTTGAAAGATATTTAAGATTACTCTAGACATTCACAGTCTGAATAACATATTTAAAATTCATTTCAAATACTTTATCTAGAAAAAGATATTGCTGGGAAAGTAAAATACTCAAATTATGTAGTTTTTCACTTATAACCGGAAGTTGTCGTTTTTATTTCCGGTGGGACCAACATCTTTGGAATCTGCGAAAAAGATGCAATAAAGTGTTACAATATTTAATCTAAAAAAGAAGAGTTGAAATTTTTGATTTCTTTGATCACTTCCTGTGACGACCGGAAGTGACGGCTGACGCTCTTAACCCAAATGGTTTTGCCTACATCTTAAGGTTTGTTGCTCATATAAGTTTGGTGTCTTAATCCCTTACCGTTTCCGAGATCTTGCTCCGACAACTTATCATTTTGAGGACAAAATAAACACGCAACCGGAAGTGAATTTTACAAAAATATTTGACGTTACTCTAGACATTTGCAGTCTGAATAACATATTTAAAATTAATATCAAATACTTTATCTACAAAAGATATTAATGGGAAAGAAAAATACTCAAATTATGTAGTTTTTCTCTTATTACCGGAAGTTGACGTTTTTGTTTCCGGTGGGACCAACATATTTCGAAACTACACAAAAGATACAATAATGTGATATAGGAATTAATTCAAAAAAGGAAAGTTAAAATTTTACGATTTTTTCGATCACTTCCGTACACAACCGGAAGTGCCGACGACGAACGAAAAGGCGATTCCACAAATTTAGAAGTCACGTTCTATGCTCTCCAATAAGTCTCCAGTTCATATCTTTAACCATTCTTGAGATCATTCGCGGACAACATTCCATTTAAAAATCAGGAAATTGCCCGTAACTTGGAACCAGAATGGAATTTTCCAAATTTTCCTTGTGATGAACAAACTTCATACAATGACTAATTTTTCCTGAAAGTTTCACGTAAAACCACTCAATAGTTTTCGAGAAAACGCCTGCACAAAATTTGGTCAAAAAAAAAATAATAATAATAACTAGAACTCATTGCGAGCAATGAGAGGTCTTCCGTCCGATTCTGAAAATAAAAACGAAAATTCAAGCTGAAAAAGAGATAAAAGAAATTCATACACGCTGGAGATTTAACCCTGGTCATCAGCATGAAAATCCAACGTGCTAACCATTAACCATTCACTTTTTTACATCACTTCCTGTCACGACCGGAAGTAACGGTGATACAAGATTTTCTCACGAATCAAATAAACTGATGACTGACTCTCAGTCCTGAAAGTTTTAGACTTTAGTCGTTTGTTGTTTCCGAGCAATATTGTGAGAACAAATTCTAATTTTGAGGACAGGTAAACAAGAGAGCGGAAGTGATTTTAGAAAAAAAATCTCTGACTTTTCTCTAGACATTTGCAGTATCTACAACATACATAAAATCATTTCAGTGATTTATCGATAAGCAATATTTATGAAAAAGTTAAATATCAAAATAACGTAGTTTATCTCCTAAAACCGGAAGTTGAGGTTTTTGTTTCCGGTGGAATCTAACATATTTCAAAACAGCGAAAGAGAAGTTTTAATTAAAAAAAAAGAAAAGTTAAAATTTTTGATTTCTTTGATCACTTCCTGTGAGAAGCGGAAGTGATGACTGACGCGTTTAACAGAAATGGTTTCGTCTACTCCTCAAGGTCTATTACTCATGAAAATTTGGTGTTTTATTCTTTTATTTGTTTTTGAGATCTTGCTCAGACAACTTCTCATTTTGAGGACAGGAAAACACGCAACCGGAAGTGAATTTTTGAAATATATTTAAGGTTGCACTAGACATTTGCACTTTAAATAACATATTTAAAATTCATTTCAAAAACTTTATCTATAAAGGATATTTATGGGAAAGAAAAATACTCAAATTATGTAGTTTTTCTCTTATAACCGGAAGTTGTCGTTTTTGTTTCCGGTGGGACCAACATCTTTCAAATCTGCAAAAAAAGATGCAATAAAGTGTTGCAATTTTTAATTAAAAAAAGAAAAGTTGAAATTTTCGATTTCTTTGATCACTTCCTGTTATGACCGGAAGTGACGGCTGACGCTCTAAACCAAATGGTTTTGCCTACATCTTAAGGTCTGTTGCTCATATAAGTCTGGTGTCTTAATCTCTTCCCGTTTCCGAGATCTTGCTCAGACAACTTCTCATTTTTAGGACAGAAAAACACGCGACCGGAAGTGAATTTTACAAAGATATTTGACGTTACTCTAGATATTTGCAGTCTAAATAACATATTTAAAATTCATTTCAAATACTTTATCTACAAAGGATATTAATAGGAAAGAAAAATACTCAAACTATCTAGTTTTTCTCTTATAACCGGAAGTTGACGTTTTTGTTTCCGGTAGGACCAACATATTTCGAAACTACAAAAGAGATGTAATAATGTGATGTAAGTATTGATCTAAAAAAAGAAAGTTAAAATTTTACGATTTCTTTGATCACTTCCGTAAGCGACCGGAAGTGCCGACGATGAACGAAAAGGTGATTCTGTTCACCTATAAGTCATGTACTATCCTCTCCAACAAGTCTCCAGTTCATATCTTTAGCCATTCCTTAGATCCTTCGAGGACAAAATTTCATTTTAAAATCAGGAAATTGTCCATAACTTGGCACCGGAAGCGAATTTTCAAAATTCCTCCAAGATGTATCAAGATCCTATAGATGCGCATTATTCCTGAAAATTTCATTCAAAACTACTGAATAGTTGCTGAGAAATCGCGTGCACAAAATTTAGGGAAAAAAATAAGAATAATAATAATAAGAAACAGTAGAATCACTATAAGGTCTTCCGTGAAGACGGAAGACCTTAATAATAATAATAAGAAACAGTAGAATCACTATAAGGTCTTCCGTGAAAACGGAAGACCTTAATAAGAAGAAGAAGAAGAAGAAACAGTAGAATCACTATAAGGTCTTCCATGAGGACGAAAGACCTTAATAAATAATAAGAATAACACATGATATATTTCAAATGGACCTCGTGCTAAAATTACCTCGATTATATCTGCATTAGTAAAAGGTGTAGGAGTTTCGAAATATGTATAACTCATTAGGAATTCAATAGATCACACTGATAGGAAAAAGACTTTACAAGTTAAAAAATATATACCGTTAATTCCTTAAAAGAAAAAATGGTGAATAATATTTACAACATAAGCAATAAATAAATAAAATCATTGACCTAAATTATTTTTATTAAACATAAAACAAATAAAATATGAATGGATCGAATGGTAATCAAGCTGAAAAGTTCATTGGAAGAAAACAAATTGGGAGTAGACAAACAAGGACCTCTAAAAACACCAGAGGTGCGATCAGATGACATGGAGGAGTAAACATCCCTTGTCGACCGATCACACTCGCCTTGAGCTCCTTGTCACCTTTTCCTTCCTGTAGAAATGGCAATTTCGCACTAAATTCAATCTAGAAAGTAAATTAAAACAACCAAAAAATTATGAACCTTGAGACCCAAGGTCTATTCTATCATTCTATCATACTGTACAAGATATGCAGGATTATCTTCATAATTTTGTTGAAACCAAATCCCCTAAAATCCCAAAAAGTACTAATATGTTGCAACTGCTTTATATTAATAAAGCCACTAAGAGAAGATTTGAAAATATGTTTAGTAATTAATTAAGGTCAGATGACACGTTCCTTAATAATATATAGTTTCTTCCAAGAATTTGTCAATGAAGTATATCTACTTTAAAAAAATTCCTCACTAAAACTTTGGGTAATTTGTGCAATATACCAGAGGATGGCGTTTCTCATATCCTATAGGAAATCACAACAATAGCCAATATCGCAACTGTTCGTATATTTGTTGTTTGATACATTATGAGCACACTTTTCAAAAACACAGGTAAATGATAATTATGACCAATTTGTTGTATATTACGAAGAGATAAAAAAAAAAAGAAGAAAAAAAAAAACAGAAGTTCGAGGAACCTCAGACCTTAACTGGTAATTCTAAAGTGTATTTGATAAAGGTGGCAAAGATGTTAATTTTTTTTTTCTATGATACTTAAACATATTTAGACAAGTGGTTGAAAAAGTGGCTTACAATTAAAAAAAAATAATAAACTTCTTGATAAATTTAAGGTCAGTGGTGTTATCATTGATGATTATGTATCCCTCCTTAAATTTCCTAGGGCTCCATACCCCGTCCATTTCTATTTGGGTTACATATTAAAGATGTAGCAGGTTCTGATATCTAAAAATAAGGTTCATTGCAGATAATACTTCCTTATTTGAAGTGATTGAAATAAATACGAGTATATTTACATTTAAAAACGCATATCGCTTCTAGGATAAGGCTGTCCGAAGAATGTCACAGTGTACCAGCCGGAGTAACTTCTCTGAGCTACCTAGATATGACGTCATAATGGCATATGACGTCAAGTCACTGCACATTTGAGCAGACATGACGGGGAAAGTGTCATAACTTTTACATTCCTTTCACATCACATGTAGAATTTTTTTACGTTGATGTCTAATTCCTGTGTCTGGATTGTTGTTTTAAGGCTGTTATGATTGTGAATATTTGCAGTGTAATATCGTTGTTACTTTTTCTTGTCTAACATGTACGTATTCAAACAATTCCAAAAAAAAAAAAAGAATATGAAATGCTCCCCCTTACACATCTGTAGACAGAGTTAGAATTTATAAATTTTATATATATATTAGCCTGGCACAAGTGAATAATAAGGATTAATTGAAGATATTCTGTGTGAATCTACTAGAGAAAAAAGCCCTCTAACTGAATTTTGCTGGGGGATTGTATGTAATTTATCCTATTTTGTATAAATTGAGGTGAAGAGGGGAAAATGACACCTTATATGTGGGTAAGTTGAATTTCTTAAGAAATAAAATTCAGACTTGCCCCCAGCACTTTATATATACCCAAGAATACGTTTCATTGATTTATATAACAAGCCGTTCACAATAATTTTGTTTTTCACTTGTGCCGATGCGATTTTTGTGCAACATTTAAGAAAATTTATGTGTCCATCAAGTGATCAACACAGTCATGTGACATCACAAAAATGTTTTTTTTATAATACCTTATTCAGCTCTCTTTACAACTAAACCGTGTATGTATACATAGATTACAAATTGAAATCAAAACATAGCTCAATATATAATTGTACATATCTAATGCATATTAAGCCTTCGGACAGCCTTAACATAGCTGCGATTCCTTAATATTAGGATTTGGAAAAGGAGAATTGATGGTCACAAAAATGGTAACTGTATATTTTTACTTGAACCTGCGTTAGTTATAATGATAGTATTTGTGATATTTGAACTGGGCTCAGTCCTTTCCAAGAGTATTAACTTTCAAGCAGCATTAATTGGTACGGTATGCAACACATCAAGTTCAGTATTGCATAAAGTGTTACATTAAATAGAGAAACTTTAAGTGAAAGAAAAAAAATATATTATTCAAGACTAATTTTAGTTATATGGCACATTATTCGAAACGTTAGAGTCATGTGCATTAATAAAGTTAATTTAAGACTGGGGAAACAATTTTCTTGACTTAAAATAGTTGATTATTGAATGATTGATTGATTGTATGTTGTTCACTCTTATAGAAACGTCACTGAATGCCAGTGAAATGCTTCAAATTTAGACCTATATTCGGAATTCGCGGCCTTTTTCAGAAACATTTTTCCTGCTATGTAAAATGTTAATTTCAAATTTCTCAAATTTTATAAAGCTTAAACTCGCTAGCCTACCTTTTTTTAATAACAAACTTCCTTTTCGAAGTGTCAATTATCTCGTTATGCCGCCTTAAGAGCATAGGTTAATGAAGCGGCTAATTTTTTTTTTTTTTTTTTTTTTTGCTATTTTTACTGAAGCCAGGCAAGGTAATTAAAAGAATAAATACATAATAGTTTATCAGTGATTGTTATTAATTTTGTTTTTGGTTTTGTTAAAAGTTGAAATAATTTATTCATGACTGCCAAAAAACAGTAGTTTTTACATTAAAAGTTAACCGATGACAATATTGGCTAGACTAACGATGTCAAGTCTGTTTTAAAAATAGTGAAACGTAATTGTGAAAGTTTGAATAACTTTTTTTGTTACAGGATTTAATATAGCATTACATTCTAACGCCCAGTAAATCAAGACAACCTATCCGGGATTTTATTTAATCTTACTATTATTTTAATTTTTCAAACGTTCAGTTTTACATGCATTTATTTGAATTAATTTTGAAATTGTGTAATTTTTTTAACGAAATTGTTTTCAATACTTGAAAAAAAAGCTATTTTAATTATTTTATAAACTTTCAAACATGATTATATAATATAAAGAGAATGAAGGAATATCAAATGTTTTACTACCCAGAACGGTAACTCTTTTTCTTATTCCTGTTGTACAAAAGAATAGTTTGTTTTACCGTTTCCACTGGTTGCAGAATTTAGTTCATCGCCAAATTCCATATACCATCGTAATTTTTTTTTTAATTTACAAAAAGCTGCGGTTTATCTAGAATTAACTGTACATATGAAGGCTTCATACATTTCCTTTCAGAGAGACAATATTGCTTAAATAATGCTTAAATCAAATTAAATCTATGATAGATCATGCAATCCCGTAAAGAATGTGCATTGGAAAAAAAAACATATTTTATGAGGAAAAATGAAAAAAAGCAAAGACTGTGTAAATCTGATCCACACTTTAAAAGCAAGAGAACATATATCTGAAAAAATATAAGTTCCCCCTTCAATTTAAAATCAATAAAAATATAATATATCATGTCTTAAGATTTTCCAACATTTCATGCAGTAGTTATATCAAGCTTCTATCATGGGGTATTCATTGTCACAAATTCCTCCTTATTCACTTTGCGGATATTTAAATAATTTAGGTTGTATTTTTCTTGATTTAAAACAAAGAAGTAAGTCAAATTTACGTTATCACGGTGAAAAAAGACATTATATAAAATGCAGTAGGAAAGAAAGGGTCCTGGAAACATTGTTTTCGTTTAGACTAATTTCCTTATCTAATGCACCATTCTCTAAGACTTACATATGTGACGCATTATTTTTGATTCATGGATAACAAATCTTATTTTAGCTTATTCCAATGATATCTAGAGCAAGTACTTGTCTTTTGAAGTTTCTGTTTTCTCTATAGGTGATTAATTTCTTAGGTACATGGAAGTTATAAAATACATATATGTTTAAATCTAATTAAATAAGGTGTGTTTGTATAAAAGATACATGATTGCAAACACGCGTCGATTAATTTTATTTAATATATCCATTATTCTATCTTCTTAAAATGTATCTCTTAAGAATGTTTTTTTTTTAAAGTCTGCTTTTGACTTTACTTAAGTAAAGTATGTAGAAAATATTATAAATTTTATATAAATTATATAACTATTATACAACTTTTTTATGGATAAAATTAGGATTTTTGAAAGGTAATCGGTTTATCTCACTTCAAGAAATAAACAGTTATTAAAGAGAATATACTATCTTTTTCATTTATAAATACTTTAGAGATTTTAGCAATAACAGCTTATGCTACGTAGGCTCGAAGTTTTTTTCGGGGGGGGGGGGACCACCTAAACTAAATTCTATAACGAGCCAGGAAAAAAGGTCAATAACCGTAATTATTGAGGGGGCATAACCTTAAGAACCTTAAGATAGCTTCATTCCAAGTTTTACAGTATATACTGGGAGCATTAACGACCCCCCCCCCCCCCCGCGTGTCAACTGCTCCTACAGGCCTGCTTTGTAAATGATTACTTGAACATAACAACATTTATTCATTCAGCAAGAAAACATTATTCTGCGGCATGGTCCTTAATTCAATTAAAATGTTAAATATGTAAAATACTAGTTTATCTTAAGAGAAATAACCGTTCAGTGACCTTTAGTTAACTAATAGTATGATAATAGTATTAATATTAATTTAAAAATGGTTATTTCAAAACAAAAATACTAATTTAAAGATCACGGTTTGGATAGTTTTGTGAATAAAGCAGAACATTTATTTGCAAATAATATTAATATTACATTTTGAATTGTGTCGTTATGCATGACAAAAAATGAAATAACATAATTTGTTTTGCTTGACATTTTGTTTGTTACCAAGTTTAAGAGCAAAACACTCTTACGGTCAATCGTGACAAGATTATTAATGTTGATATATATATACATCTTTTTTATCTTTGTGAATTCTTGTATGAATATCTCCTTCATTGACCAAGTTGAATTTGTAACTTGGTTAGAGAATTTTTTTCCCTTCTGTTCATAATCAATAGTAACAATAGTAATCAATAGTAACATCCATCTCTCTCTCTCTCTCTCTCTCTCTCTCTCTCTCTCTCTCTCTCTCTCTCTCTCTATATATATATATATATATATATATATATATATATATATATATATATATATATATATATATATATAGAAAGTATTAAAATTACAACGGAAAATGACAATTTCAAAACCACAATTAGTATTTCCATACTCATACATAGACAATACACAGATCCATTAAAATCAACTCCATCCAGTTTTAGCACTTTGAATTTTAGCGCTTCTTTTTTGTAATATATATATATATATATATATATATATATATATATATATATATATATATATATATATATATATATATATATATATATATATATATATATATATATATATATATATATATATATATATATATATATATATATATATATATATATATTAAATTTAAAAGGTCTATCATTTTTCTAAAATGCTTTTTGATTGAAATATTTCATAGCAATATATATTAAATCTATTTAGCTGTTAGTTATCCATAATGAAAGGTTCCATTTTTACGACGATTTTAAAAGTGTTACATAACTATTTAAAAAAAAAAAAAAATAACTGCATGTATCTCCTCAACTTGGAAAATGTTCGTCGTAGAACACAAAATTAAAAAAAAATAACGACGGCCATAAATATATTTTTTATTATTTCTAACCGAGATCTTCCTATTGTCACACAAATAAATGTTCTCCATAAAAATACTCCTATACAGCAGCAGTGTACAAACCTATAAAATGGAGACACGCAAGATTCTTTTCACTTAATTCAAACTATCACATCAAATATTTCCTGGTGTGAATTTTAGTGCAGTAACTTTTGCTCTGGAAAAAAATTAATCAAGTAAAAGTACCTGACAATTTATAAATGTCCTTAATATATAATTTTCTTCAGCACGAAGTCCAATATATCACTCTGCTTGTCATAAACTGTAATTTAAATGCTTGTAAACGTAATTCAAAACATATGTTACTGACGTTAAAACATTGTCACGTCCAGTTACAAATGGGGCATCACAAATATAAGTGGAACTGATTTCAGAATCTTGTTATAAATTCACAAAAATTAAACAAACCATTACCGATGCTTTTCTTTGTGGTAAGAGTTTGTTGAGTGATATGGGACTCGAAATTTATAATAGAATTACCCTATATTTTATTGTTTGGTTTTCGTACATGTCAACCGTCTAATATGGGCTAATTTACATTTAAAAGGAATTCTAAGACATTTCAATGTATGAAATTATAGATTTAGCACCAAGGTATAATTAGAAATGACATGATATTCTGAACGTATTGAGATTAATTGTGCGTTATCATATTCACCTTTTGTTTTATTTTATTTTTGATAATTTGTTTTTTAATTTTACAAATCAATATCTACTGAAATTGAATTTATTTGCATTTTCTTAGGAGATCTGAGAATTTCATTTTGCAACCATCATAATTGCAATACTTTGAAAGAAGAAACATCAATCGTTTATTTAAATATAGTAGTACCAACGGGAAATAAAATAAAATACAAGAATATCAAAAAGAGTTATTAAAAAAAACAAAGACAATGGATTTGCAAACAAATATCTTTATTGCAGTTATAAAACATTCTAGCTTTTTACTCAGTTTAACTTAAATGACCAAATAATACTTGAAACCTCTTACATATAGGCTAGACCTGCAGATAAATATTAGACAGCATAACTTACCCGTTTCTGATTCCTGATTGTTTATAAAGACCACTACTGTACTTAATATACAGTCCATTATTTTTTAAGTTGTAACAAACTGAGAACTGCATTCTTGAGGAATAGATGTGTATTATAAGAAACACCACATAATATAATATTGTGAAACAAAAATCAGTATGTAATGTTGGGGTAAACTATGATACTGGCCCTTTTGTGTATTTTATATAGAGGAAACTAATCAATTTTCTATTCTAAATTTAATTAATGGATTTATGAAAGGAAATTGACCACAAATAAAGTTTTGTAACTACATTCGAATTAAATGAATGTTGTTGTCTGGAATTTTTTTTAAACTTGCAAGTATTTTTGTGGATGTAATTGAATACATTTCCCCAAAACCAGAGACGAAAACGAAGCATTTGTCTATGTCACTTAAAGCCGTTTCATTTTCATAGTGAACACGACCTTTTCTCGTCTGTAATCTTGAAATTTAAAAAAAGATGCATTTCTTGTGTATCTTATTTCATCAAATCCATAAATTATTTCATATATATCTCCGCCATTTGGCAGTCAAATGTGCATTAAATCCGACGCATATGAAAATTAAATATTCACTCGCGCCACATTTGTTCTATCTAATTTATGGTGTAGTCATAAAATGTAATATTTCTTTACAGAAACATTCCCCTTATTTCAGTTTTAGAAAGTATATTTGCATATAAATTTTCATAGTATTCAAATACAAAGTACGTATACCAATGCGAAATATTTACGTAAAATCTAGTTTTTCCTCTTGCTATATACACCGCAATTTAACTCAAGTATATAGGAAAGGTCAACAATTATTTAAATATAATTTTGAAATCCGAGCTTTTAGACAATAACTTTGCTAAATATGGAAGTATATAATTTGGAAAATTAATTATAATGAATTTTTATGCAATATCTATAGGAAATAAAAAAAATATAAATAAACTTAACAAACCTTCCTGAAGCTTAAAACACAATTTGAAAAAAAGCCAAGTATTATTTCTTTATAAAATGAATGTATATTAAATTGATAATCTTGATAATAATATTCTTTAAGTTCGAAACACATTATGAATAACACCTTATTATATAATTTGTCGGATACTTAATAAATTTGTTATAATAATTTTCTTTTTCAGATGAAAGATAATATATGTTAAACCTAGAAGTAAAAACATTAGTTTTGAGGATTAAGTCATGAATATCCTTTTATTGTTTGATTTATTGATTGAATGTTTTTGTCGTCCCGTTAGAGAATGTTTAACTCATTTAGAGACGTAAACGTATGCCGGTGAAGGGCTTCAAATTTAGACCTTTACTAGGCAATTATGGCCATTGAGCAGCGAGGGTTCTTTATCGTGCTAACACCTAAAGTGACACGGAACCTGGGGTTTCAAGGTCTCATCCGATAGACCCATGACTTTCACTTCTTGTGCCGAGCGCTTGGCGAAGGAACATTCATTTCGTATGTTTTACGTCTTAGGTTTGACTCGGCGCGGCGAGCGAGAATCGAACCCTGGCCTCCCGATCATGAAGCGAGCGCCCTACCACTAGGCTACCATATCCAGTTTCTTTCGGCGTTTAAAAAAGAGTACGAAAACACCTGTGTAGTACGTTGTTTAAATGATAGATATATTCTCGATGAAAGTTTCTCAAGTTTAATGGTCGCTACAATGACCTTGTCAGCAAATACAACCTATCATTAAGTCAAATACTAACCGACGTTTTTCATACTTACCGTTGGGCTATTATTTGCACACTGAATTGTCTACCGTTTTTCCGTTTTCCCGATCATGACAAAGAGTACACGGCGGGTGTGACTGGTCAGCAGGTGATGCTCATTCCTCCATGGTCCCTGATCCCACCTCTGATGTTATTTGAGTTCCATGTTTTCTCAGCTCCCGATTGATTTTCTTAAATTAAACTTTGAGCTTGAATATTGTTCGTTATGTTAATAACATTGGTAAAATCGTAACTAAATATTTCAAAACTGCAAATTTCTCTAACCTCCATGTATTGTTAAATTATTGTTCTGAGTGTTTAAATGCGTTGACACAATTTCGCATTTAATCTACTGGAAAAGTACATTTTTAAAATAATTTATCTGTTGATGTGAATTTTGTGCAAGCAGGACAACAAAGTAATATTTTTTAAATTAAAACTATGTCTTTTGGAAATAATTATGGCAGTGTACGTTATATATTAGAAGAGAGTAATTTAAAGACTTTTCTGCTTTTTCTCTGTCATTTACATTGCTAAGACGATATCAAAAAGGAATCTGGATATGTATTATTCAATACTTTTGAAAAATGGATTAAATTTGCACCTTGCGGGGTTTTTTAAAATTATATTTCGTAATTAACATAGTATGACGTCGTGATCTCAATCTGACATAACTTTTCATATTTATAGCAGTATATGAAATTTAGTTACTTAAACAATATTCCTAGGACTTTACTACATTGCAATTATGAAGATTTCTATAACATAGTCCTTTTTTGCAAACTAGGAACGCCTCTGTTATTACCTTACTTGCATCAAACTTGTGCATCAAATGCTCCCCAAAAATATTAAATGATAATTAAATCGATGCACTGGTCAAATTGATGCTAATGTTATTTCTTATCTATTTTTTAACTTAAGGTTATCCGATCCCTAGGTTCTGAAAATAAGAAGTTGAGTCATTGGAAATGCTCTCAAGAATGTCCCTAAATAAATCTCAAAGTAATGTTTATTTACCCATGGTAATTCCTCAATGTTCATCATTATTGTTATTTATATTATATAGGGAAAATATCTCAGATATATTTAAGAAAGCATCCGTTATGCATTTTCTAATCAAACATACTTCTCAACAAATATATTTGAGGATAAAAAAAACTACAGGTATCCAGGCATTTGGAGAAAATACATGTAGCATGTTTTATACTTGTGCGGTACTTAAGTTCTTCTATTTATTTCAATTGTTATATAATACATAGTGTATAATGTTTTACTATCATTGCAAGAAATCACAGAAAACGTATAATTTTATATCATGCTAATAAACATTTATATCTAGGGTTAGATTAGAAAAAAATCTGATTTCTTAAAAAAAAATCCTTTTTTATGAGATACAGCTGTCATCTTTTTTTACAATACCAATTCGAAGACTTTAGAGAGTCTTGAATCATATTAAGATTCATGAAATGAAATGTTGCACGAAAATTTTTCGATTTTAATCTTCATTCTGAGACTTTTCAAATTAAATAATTATTTTAAGAGTTATCGATCCTGGTTGAGGAGCGGATACCCTTAATATAAATATTCATTTATCATCTAAGGAAATATTCTCATTTTCCTTTTGTATAAAATACGAAAGCAAAACTGGAAAGTAAATGTACAAAATATGATTTTTATAGAAACAATAACAAAATAATCGAAACTTATAGAATATCAACGGAATCTATATTTTGAGACTTTTCATTTTACAAGTCGAGTTTTGATTATGACGTTCTGTGTTGCCTTAAACGAGAATTAATATACAACGTCTTTTTAAATAATTAAGTGAATCACGATTCACCTGCTTCATTCTTTAACTTCTAGTTACCGCCATTCATAACTAAGAATAACAGATTTAATTGTTTAAAGTTGACATTGTCTAATTTATGTCATCCAAAGTTTTATAAATTTTAAAAAATGTCATTTGTTCCATTTGCATATGTCGTGTTGTAAGTTGACATTTAAAATCTTAAACTATTTATCATCTTAAATTTTATTTTCCATTTTGTTTTCTTCGTTTATTTCTCTGTCCAAAAAGGAGTATACAACTGTGAAAGTTCTTCTAGGACACATCTTTAATTAACAAATTTTATACAATAATAAATTTTATATGATGGGTAGGATCTTATGCACATTGAAAGCATTCTGAGCAGCGAGTATACTTCTGAAGTAAGACATTGTGTACTATTTTATCACGCCCAAAACAGCTTGCAAAGAACACATTTTTTTTTTTTTAAATGTCAATCTTCTTTACAAAAAAAGATAGTTTTGGTTACTCACCACATTTATTCTGAGCTCTTTATTTATAAAGAATTGTATATCTCGACTTATGTATCTCAACAGTTTTTATTATATACTAGTACTTTGCTGCAAATGCACAAGAACAATTGTATTTTTTTTTTGTCAATTGCTAATTCACGGATACTAATATAGTATAGTATGGAAGGAGCTGTGCATCTTCACTAAACCGTGGGACAGGTGACTTCAAATCTAAATTGAAAGCTATTGATGATAGACCAAAGATAGGCTTGATATTCCATTTCAACTAAACTGGACAAAATATATAATACATGTACTTTGTACTTGTGATTACTTTTTCCTTAAGAAAGGATATTAGTAATTTATGTCTTTTGAAATATATATTGAAGTATGAATACTTTGGAAAAAAAAAACAAACAATAAAGTTTTAGCTGATATTTATTCTTTGCTTTTACTTGTACATTGTCATAGAACATTCATTAGGGTTTATAAATAGAGAGATATTACACTCACCAATTTTTGAAGGAGTACTGATACTTCCCAAATCAAAGTCTTTTTTTAAATGAATATTCGTGGTTGTAAGCGGATTTACCAGTAAGTGTTCCTTCGCAAATCATTGATCTTTTTCTGGGTAGTTCTTGGTTTATTTACCTCAGGAAAATCAAACAATCAGGAATAGAAGGAACAAATGTACTGGCAAGGCGCCTGTTTCATGCCTTTATCCTACCAAATTCAGTAATTGTGTCATTAACCTGAAAATAAGATAAACCATTGGACATACTGGAAAAAAAAAAAAAAAAACACACACACACACACACACATTTGAGAAACATCAATCATGGGGACGGATTATAAAATGATTAACACATGTAATCTTGTGACAGCAATGTCATCATGTGCAGCGACAATGTTCTCCCACCTTCACTGCATATATTACCACCCCCCAGTTAGATTTCAATTATATGGGTTATAAGCTGATGGTGTCGAAATTCATATCTTCATTTTCATTACCAAAGAGCAAGTAATGTTTTCTGTTCGTACGATTGTCATTGTCAACCCCCTTGAATTAACTGTAATATATAGCTTTATTTAGAATAGATTCTGGGTCTTCTTTTATGAATTTATATTAATCACATGATATGCGCTCTTTTCCTCTTCAAGTATAACTTGTATTTCAAATAGAGCGTTTTAAGGAATCACAATGATATTTGATATTTTTACTATTATCCATATAACTATTTCTAATGGTATGTCAACAGTATTTGCAGTTAGGGTTGGCGTATATTGTCCACAACAGCAATATTAACAGGACGACAATAAGTATCGTCAAATTTCTTTTTTGAAATCGATAAATACAAGAATATTTGAGTGCTTAAAATAATTTGTTTCGATGAGTTTAGAACTTAGTAAAAAAAAAGTTATTATCAATGTTTAGTACATGCTTTAGGGGGGAAAAAACATGTTCGCTCTTTAACTGATATGATCGCCGCATAACACGATACTTCAGTCGTTTAAGACGAAACTTTCAACACAATAGCTATACGCAGAAAACACGGTACATTATGTCTTCTGTTTTTGAATGTATTCAACGTATTGTAGAATTACGTCAACCTTTCCTTTATTATATCTCTGTTACGTTAATGCTCATGTTCCTTCAACCGGTCACGGTAGCTTATTCGTAGGACCTTCGCTTCGGGATTGGGAGGACTTTGTTCCATTCCCGTTTGCCGTACCGTGTCAAAACTTCTATGTAAACATAAGTAGTGACTTTTCCTTCCCCAAGCACCCTGCATTAAAAGTGAAAATCACGGGTCTTTCGGATGAGACATTAAAAACCGGGATCCCATGTCACGGTAGGTCTGGCACAAAAAAGAACCCTCACTGTCCAATGGCCTTGATTGCCGAGTAGAGTTCTAAATTTCAGACCCTTCACCGGCACACGACGACGTCTCTAGATGAGTGAAAAATTTTCTAATAGGACGATAAACAAAATACAATCAATTAATCATGTTCCTTGAATATCAAATTATTCATAACATCAGGCATTCTCAAAGACAGCAATATAAAATAAATCTGTTAATGTGTTTCTTTTTATGTCTCAAAGTTTTTTAATTATTTATCGTTTTTAATGATAATTCCAACAATTTGGTAAACAGAGTATTCAAAAATTTCAGAATACTATCAGGTAAGATTTAAGATATATCCAGACTATTTTGGCTATCATAAACGAACAATCCTTAATATCAAATTAAAAAAAAAACATTATATGCCCGTTGGTTATAAACTTAATAAGAAGACTCATACCTTTAGTCTTCACAACAGATTGATCGTTGAGTCCTTCAATCATTTTATGTGTTATTTTCTTTAAAAAAAAAAAAACAAAAAAAACAAAAAAAACAAAAAAAAACAGTGAAATACTGTAATTTATTTATTGAATAAAAGTGACATTCTCTAACAGTGTGAAAGTATACCAAAATGATAATCAGATACAGTGTGAAAGGATATATCAAAGTAAGTAAAAATAATTTCTAGCCTGTAAGATATAGATAGTAACTAAGCTATCTTAATAGAGACTAAAACTTCCCAAATATGGAAATTCCATTTTACAATGTTTTCAATGCTATGACGTCTCAACTGCTATACTATGATGTCACAGCCTATGACTGTGTCAAGAAAAGACAATGGCAAAGGGAAAATCAAAGAAAATGTTATTAACAGAAAATGATTTGTAGTTGGATATGGAATTTTTTTTCACTCGGGAGACAAGATTTTTTTATATATATATTTTCATTCGTGCTATTAAAAAATAATATCTAAAAATTCTATCCCACTCGTGAAATAAATTCCATATCCAACTACAAAACATTGAAAATCCTCTATACATTTAGTATTTACATTAGTCACTGAAACCTGCAAAGATAAAAAAAAAAATTACAGGTACCTGGTAAAATTTGAATTTAATGACTTGTCTAAAATTTAATACCGGAATTTTGAGTATGGAGTTCTGTATAAAACTGTTCATAGGGATCAGTAACAAAACAACTCCCTATATGGGATTTCTGTATTAAGGACACGAAATAAAAACTGTTGTATATATAACGTTGAACTTTGGGATCTCGGACACTGATATTTCGAATACCATGTACAAGTAATTTAGAAGTTCCAAAAGCTTTGGATATAAATATTTTACCCTCGATATCTAGAATTCTTGGATATTTGTAAGTTTTTTTTTTCTGTGCCGTAGAGTTCTTTTCTTTACTTGAGAAAAGCGCACTGTTTGTATCCAAATTCATTTTAAAGTATGCAAGAAAAGACGGAAATATATGTATTGGAAACATTCATCCATTCTTTTTTATAATTTAACTCGCAAAAATTGTAATAAAATATAATTAATGCACATGAATTAAGTTATGTGTCGTTGAAAGCATTCGTAAAGTGTTCGGTTTATTTCTGTTTATGAGTTAATGAAATACATCTAAAAGATATTTTTTACAATCAAGAATGCATGTAAAAAGATATTATACCTAGTATGAACTGTTCCAATAATATTATGCAGGCACTACTCACTGCTTATGAAATTGTCGACGTTTGCATCTTTTGCCATTTTTTTTTCTTTTGAATGATTGAATATTCTTTTTCCTGTTTTTGCTCTCTATCAATTAAAATTATCTCTATTACTATCTGAACTATCTTGCATCAGTCCGCTGATATTTTAATTGAACGATATTTTCCTAATTCTATAGAAACGTTAAAACATTAATCAATGAAAACATTATTACTGGAAAGACTTTAGTAAAAGAAAGAATAAAAATCAAAAATAGACAAAAACAAAACTGATTCAATATACAGTAAAAATCTATACTTATAAATTAATGAATTTTGCAAATAAACTCCGAAATGCCAGCATCAGGGCTCGTACTTACTCCTCTTAGTTTACACGGGGTATGAGATGAGGTTCGTAAACTATATTTAGAATTCACTCGGTTAGCAATTAACGTATATTTAATTAAAACTCTACTTTCGTTTTCGATAAACAGCCATTTAATAGCAAAAATAAATAAATAAATAAATAAATAAATAAATAAATAAATAAATAAATAAATAAATAAACAAACAAAATAATGAGAGAGAGAGAGAAAGAGTACGGTGGTAATTACGATTGACGAGTAGCCCGCGTGGAGCAGTGGAAGAGCGTCTACTTTAGAGTCCCGGAGTAAGGAATTAATCCTTACGTCGCAGATGTGAATTCAAATGTGGACGTGGAAACCGGTCCTTCGGATAAGACCGTATAAACCGCGGTCCCGTGCTGCAATAGGTGCTGGCACGAAAAAGATCCCTCACTGCTCAATGGCCCTTAGTGCCGAGTATAGGTCTAAATCTGTAGCTCTCCACCGGCAAGTGGTGGCGTCTCCATATGAGTGAAAATTCTCGAGAGGGACGTTAAACAACAAAACAAACAAATAAACGATTGACGAATCTATTCTTTTTTACGGTAAAATTTTGATAAACTAAACTACAAGCAATTGATTGATTATTTGACTAAACGTCAATAATGAAATTTTTAATCAAAACTGGACTTAAGTGATATAGAAGAAATATGTTGTGATAACGGATTATAAACAAAATGTGCAAATTGCTTTCGACAGTCTCCGATCATAGTCAATAAAGGAACTTTGCTTTAATCCATACATTTCAGTGGGTTTCTCTGTATAGGATAACAGAAGGTATATGAAAGTGAGCATCCCCTGCCGACCGGTCACACCCGCCGTGTGCTCCTTGTCATGATCGGGAAATAACGTCGACAATTCAGTGTGTAAATAATGGCCTAACAATTAGTATGAAAAACGTCAGTCAGCATTTGACTCAATGATAAATTGTATTTGCTGACAAGGTCATTGTATCGACCATAGAACTTACGAAATGATGACTTTAAACGAGACAGCTGATATTCTTGTTTCATCAACTTATTTGTCAATATTTTACCTCGTTTTAGAAATTGTACATACGTAGAGCATGCTCTTGCGTATCGAATTAACTGAGAGATATATACCCCGTATGCTGGTGATGAAGGAATATTGCTGCATAAGTAAGGGAAGTTAATCAACATTAATTACATTTTCAACAATGGAAAACGGTAATTTATCTGTCAAATAAATTGATATTTTCACAGATATTAATTTTCCCGTCTGAAAATTACGGAGGGTTTTTTTCTGAGTATAAAAAAAAATTCGCCTTAAACTCTTTATTGTTCTTCCCTACATAAAACTTTTAAAAGAAAATACTCCCTATAGATAACCGGAATGAATTAAATACCCCGATATTGAATTAAATTCGCAAAAGCTTCCTCAGACAAATGTCGTTAAAATCCATGTTTACAATTTCCAACATCACAAAAGCAAAGCTATTACGAAACTGTTAAGATATGACGTCACAGATCAGGCCACTGCGTTACGAATAGAGATATAGACAAAAGTGTAATAAGCCGATAATTAAATCACAGGACATGGGGTTCCCACTTGTAATTTATCAGAAAATCATTTCCCACTAGTGAAATAAATTCTATATCCAACAACAAATATTGAATATCCTTTCTTTACATTATATTTCATGAAGATGACATATTTCTATATACGTTACTAAGTGGTATATATATATATATATATATATAAATTCATTATTATCGGCATAGTATCAAATATGCAATTGTATCGTCCTAATCTTTTAATATGCCTTGTAAGATTATGTATTATTTTTTACCAATAATTGTACCTCATTCGTTTTCTTGATGAAAGTGGAAGAAAATTCATGTTACTGGCATAGTGTTTCGTCAAGTAAAGAAAATAATTGATGTTATGAAGTCTCTTTCAAAAATATTTTTTATTTAGTACGGAGAAAAGAATCTGCCATGGTTATTATATCAACGTAGCACTCTTGGAATATAATTTTCTAATCATAGTATGAAACAGAAAATAAAAGATGATACTTTTATTTTACTTGAAAACATATTTTACTTGAAAACATTCTATCTTTTCTTTGTGAGCATTTAAAGCAAAATTGGATAAAAGTTGCTGTAAGTGGTATACAATTATTGAAAAACTTACCTTTTTGAGCCCTCTAAAAAAGTAGTGTTTTTGTCTGGAAAGGAGCGTTCTTGCAAAATTCAAAATTGACTAAATTTAATTCTGACAGCAGGAAGGTCTACATTTAATGGATAATTAATTTGTATCTAGATATGTCATATGTAGAGGATATTTCAAGATCTGACAGTTAACAATTGTCGTATAATTGGCTAACATGCTATTTTTAACCTTACTTTCCATAAATGAGAAATTAATTCATTCATTATACACTTTGTTTCGAAAAAAAATGTTGCGTGGTAATTGTGCATTGTTTCAGAAAAGTTAAAAATTATGGACAACATGTTTACTCTAGTGTGATTTTATTAATTAATCGCAAAGATTCCTAAGCAATCAATCAATTTCTATTACACATTCACGTTTTAAAAATTACAAATAAAGAAAACGAGAAAACTGCACAAAAAATACACAAAAACATGAGAAATTTCAAGCAAAAATTACATCATATCTTATTTTGGTAATGAATATTTTTGGTGTATAATTTTGGTATTAAAAATGGTATTATGAATTTAAAATTGTTTCAGTCTAAAATTTCAATGGCAGCTTGCAGTTTGCAATGTAAGAAGTTGTTTATATGATTAACACTTTAGTGTCATTAGACTATTAGAAGTAATCAGAATACTAACAGTGGAAATATACAAAATAAAATTGATTGATTGAAACAAATAAAAATACACGTGCAATTTACACTCTTCTAATATTTGTTATACATTACTACACGAACAGCAAGATTTCAAATAAAGCGTTGATACAGAATTGACCAGAGCTAATATATGTTTAAACATGAAATTTGATTTTTAAATTCATACAATGTTATTTAAAAAAGTAAATCGAATTTGTAAACTAATAATAAAAGCTATAAAATTAAAAAAAAAAACATCGTTATAAATTCTTTAAGCTGATTATCTCTTTAATCCTATTAAAAATAGAAATTTGAAAAAAAATAAATGTGAGAAGAAAAATATTTTAAGAATCCATTCATAAAGATACGAAATGAATATTGAAATATCATTTGGTTTATTTACGTTTTTTTATTGCTGTAGTCAAAAAAGATTAACCTAGCAAAACAGTATAACCTGTGGGTGATAACCAGTGCGCTACGTCCGTAACGCCCTCGAGCCATACCTCTCCTTAATTGTTAGCGCACGAAAATGCTAATAACAACGACAAATCAGAATTCTGGCATTCCGCTTCCCGCTATATAAAGGCCTGCTCTTGACCAGACAAAGCAGCACGAGCTTGCAAATCATAAACAGCCGTTGGAAAACTAGAAAAAATTGGTAAGTTTCCATTATATCTTATAAAGTAACTGAATTTTTCTTTCTTTATTTTAATTCCAATTTTAAAGTTTCCTTAGAACTAATGAATTTATACTTTTATAGTATATTTTTTAGAACTAATAATTCCTTTATTGCTTAAGCCCACTTTTTAGGGAATTAAATATTGATAAGGAATCCAAAACAAACAAAAAGAAAACATCTCAGTATCATGATACTTAAAAGAATATACATTCAAGTATTTAAACAAAAATTAATGTTCTTTTTTCTTCTTGCAGTCTAGAGAATACAGCGGGGTTTATTTGAATCATGCGCACGTGTCTGATACTTTTCGCTCTCTTAGGCTTTGTGGCTTTGTCCCAGAGTTCACCTATACGTAAGTCAGCTAGACATTTGTTATTAACATTTATGTACTGTTCACAGTTGGACAGGAAATTCCTCTCTCTCTCTCTCTCTCTCTCTCTCTCTCTCTCTCTCTCTCTCTCTCTCTCTAAAATAATAAAATGTGGTTTTTATTTTTTTCCTTTTATCCTTTTTTTTTTCCTTTTCTTAATTTTTGTTTTCGAAAAAAAAAGCATCTTCAAAGCAGCATATCTACAATGTAATTCTGTAGTTATATAAGCTGTTTCTGTATAATTTTAGCATGCAACGGCGCCGAATGCGAATATGATTACGGATGTAACGGTGGAGGTTGCGATTATGGAGGAAATGGCGGAGATGGCGGAGATGGCGGAGATGGTGACGACGACTCCTATTCTGGATCAGATGATGGAGACAGCTCTGGATCCGACTCCGACTCTGACTCTGGATCGGACTCTGACTCTGGATCGGACTCTGATGATTCAGGATCTGATTCTTCTGATTCTTCAGACTCAGATTCCAGCTCTGGATCAGATTCCAGCTCTGGATCAGGATCTGATTCCGGATCTAGCTCAGGATCAGACTCCAGCTCTGACTCAGACTCAGGTGATGACGATGATGATGAGGATTGCGACGATGAAGAGTACTCCGGCTCAGATTCCAGCTCTGGATCTGGATCAGACTCTAGCTCAGGATCTGATTCAGACTCTGATGATGATGATGATGATGAAGACTGCGATGACGATGACGACTCCGGTTCTAGTTCAGACTCCAGCTCAGACTCAAGCTCAGGCTCTGACTCCGACTCCGACTCCGACTCTGATTCCGACTCTGATTCCGACTCCGACTCTGATTCCGACTCTGACTCCGACTCTGATTCCGATTCCGATAGTGATTGCGATGACGATAGTGGCAGCGGATCTGACGGTGGTGACTCTGGCGATGGTGACAATGGATCAGGATCTGGTGACTCAGATGGTTCGGATGGTAGCGACTCTGACAGTGACTCAAGTAGCAGCAGTTCTAGCTCTGATAGCGATTCAGACAGTGGTGACGGTGACGGTGACGGTAACGGTGGAGATTATGGAGATTATGGATGTGGAAACGGAGGTTGTGACGGAGGAAATGGCGGTGATGGCGGTAATGGCGGTGACAACGGTGAAGAAGAGGAGGATAAATAGATTCTCAGTTTTTAGTTCTCTTTTACAATCAATGAAAACTTTAATCTGCACCATGCCAAACTTTGTGATCAAATCGTCACGTTTTCGAGTCAGGGGTCTTTAGAGGCGTTTAAAGAACAGTTATATAATTATAAGAAAGCTATGTTTTATATTTCAAATAAAAATTGTATATTTAAAAGCATATGCAATCATTCCATTTAGATATTAAGTAAAATTCAACAATTTAAGTTATGGAAATCCGTAAAGATCTTTTTGAATTCAACATTTTTGTCTTTTCTTAATTTCGGAATTTTTAACTTAACATCATTTTGCATGCCCAAGGGACTATGAAAACGTTAGTTATGCATAATAAATTTTTAGTTATAATTCATGTTTTTGTATTTTTGTATTGCTCATGTTTTTTGTTACCTCAAGTACTTGTTTTGTAAACAGAATGCAACTCAATAAATTATTGAACAAAATATTCTTTTTAACAAATCTTTGCAAAGTTATAAAGATAAGCTTAGTTTCGCAATGATGATGGTAAAGATGGTGTGCGTGCAAGTTATAATTTTCCAGTGTCCGTTATTCATGTGAACATTTTGAAACAGTATGCATTGAAAACTACATGCATCTAAATATATGTAGATTAACCTATTTCTGAATTTTTTCAAGGTTATTAAGAAAAGCTTCCCGTTAAAGGTAAATAACGAAAATGAATGAAAAAGAACTGATTTATACATACTTACAGGTAAACAAAGGCCGTACATTTCTTTATCTTGATATTTCAAAATTCAAAAGATATACAAAGAATTTTGTCATTCAAAAGGTGGTGATGCAGTCATTTTTTTTCTTCGTACGTTCTTATGGTTAAGATAGGATTCAAACTACTTCATGTTGAACCGCCAAATATTAAATTAATCTACAAGGAATCTTGCCTAATTAAAATGTTGTGCATTCCGAAATCTTGCCTAGTACGATGTAAACTTTAAGTCCCCTTCGCAAAATTTAATTGTTTAAATGTTGTGATCCGAAATGTTGTCTAATCCGGGCAGTTTCTATGGAACCAGTAGTGTCCGATTAGAAAAAGTTTTACAAAACAATCATTTTAAACGTTTTGAAGATGTTAGATCAACCATGCTTGTACATGTATGATGGCGTGGTGTATGAAAAAAATCCCTTTTCCCTCAACACTGATGTATTTGAATGAATTCTATTTATTCTTTTAGTATTAGACATTTATGATCACTGATATTACATAGGGCTCAAAACGGGTGCAACTAGTCGAAAGGGGTTGCTTTCTCCTCCTAGGTACCGGATCCCACCTCTATAATTTCCGGGGGCCCGTATACGATGTTCACATAATGGATGCATATGGAAAATAAATATACATTAAGCATGGAATTATTATTTTTGAAAGATTTAGTTTAGTTTCATAACTGCAACGGTGAGTGCAAACAAATTGATTAATACACACATGAGACTTCGTTTTTCAAAAGGTAATGATTCAATGCTTATATTTACATTTTACCTTGGCTTGTCTGCAAATATGATTTATAATTCAAAAACCATGTATTATTACAGTTATTGGAAGAGCCGCTGAAACAGATTCTGTTCAATATGAGCGTAAATTTTTATTTTTGCTTATGGAGTTGCATTTGCACGGCGTTCAACGTTTGTGACGTCAAAATAAAACGCATACTTTAACCTTTTGACCCCCCCCCCCCGTCCGTGTTATAGTGTTTTGAATGCCATAGCATTCCATGTACTCTATAAGCAAAATGTGATTATTGAACTATAAAATAGAAAACAAATGAGAAAACCAGCAATTGTTTTGTCTAAAATAAATATTAACTACCTTTAATGTTGGATAACAAAGGCGTTATTCCGAACGCTATATTCCCTTTTAAAACTTTATTGTATGTATATCTTTATATATATATATATATATATGATTCGTTGAATAATTACTTCCATATGAAAAAAAGGGGGGGGGATTGAATAAAAAGTGCAAGATATGAATCTGACCACTTGCAAGAAAGCAGGGACTGTTTATTGAAATATACAGTAACATAGCGACCCGTCATATTTACAATCAAAATATTGCTTGAGCTTTGTAACCACAGGTATCAAAAAAGTATAAGAAAAATTATGCAAAACAGTAGCATGGTTGACCAGCTCGAGTGATCTCTTCTGCTTGATTTCTTAAAAAAATATTTTAGTATAGATAAAGAGAAAATTTACATGAAAATATTTCATATGCAAAAAATGCAAATTGCTTTTTTGTTATATTCATATCCTCAAAATATGCTAAATATTACCTATGATTTTGTTCGCAGGTGTTCTTGAAGATGTTTTGAACAATCAAAAGGAAACTTTTGAGTAATGATTATTTCCAAATATAGTGGTTCATTCAACATTTAAAATTTAAAAGTTACCATTGCCATGGAATCAAAGGAAACATGAAAAATTTCGCTCTAAATTTTGTCAGATACTATTAATTTGATTTTTTCTCCATACAAGTATAGTAAAATGGAAGGGTTTCCTCACGTTCCTGGGGTTTAAAGTTCCCCAAAATTTGAGATCGTCGCCACGAAAACAAATATTTTTTTCCAAATTATTTTTTTCTTCAAAATTTTAAAATAAACACTTTCTTTTCCACCAATAATGCCCAGTAGGTTTAAGTACTGCAAATTTGTTTATGTATTTTCCTTTTCATTCTTTGATTATGTGTATGGAATGTGTGTCAAGCAAAAATGTCCATTCTGCCATTTTTTTTTTTTTTACCAACAATTTTTAAAAAGCAGGACTTTATATATGCGTTATTGTTATATATGAAATTAAAAGGCCTATAGGTAGTTATAATAAATATCATGTTGTTCAAACAAAGTATACATCTGACATTTTTTTTTATTATTAACTAAACATAAAGATTGTTTATCTTCGGGATAAGACTTTATTCTTCGTTCACGTTTCTTTACTGCAGATTCTCACTCTGCTATTACTTCGTCCGATTTTGAAAATGAAGGATTGAATCTGTGAGGTATATGCTTTAAAGTATATGAATTATTAGAAGCAATGTTTCAACAAAAACACAAACATTATGAATGCAGAATATGCACTGAATGTTAATGGTAACAGCAATGCAGAAAATACAAAATATATACTGAATGTTAATTGGATATGGTAATGAAAATGTCTATAAATTAATGTTATTTTGAAAATCAAATCTTTCTTCAGAGACCAAGTATTGAATTATATAGATGGAAAATAAACCTCTTATAAGCCCATTTAAATTCAATCTTTTAAATGATAAAAGGTATAGTTATCGTCTCATTGTAAATATATATAATAAATATACTGCATACTTCATGTATTTTTACGCAGCGATTCTTTTTTTTCCCCCCTTTAACAGTTTCCTTTGTTTTGAAACAATAAAATAAAAAGAAATCGTTATTTCCGAAGTTTTACTTTCGGGAAATATAAGAACGCCAAAACAAACTTTCAAATCGACATATGAATATACAATGATAAAGCATTGGAATATGAATAGATATATAACTTTATTTTCATGACAAATACTAGTTCAAGAACAACAATACACATATAAAACATTAAGATACAATTTTTTAAATGTTATTAGTGTATGTTTTTAGCAGTAGGTGGACTTGAAGGGAAATATAGCAAATCTAAATTAGATGTAAAATTGAAATATGGAAAGAAAAATTCAAATTTAGAATACGGATCGAATGTGCTAAAGATAAAAATAACTTGATGTTATCATTAAAACCACTAAATTATGGCTGGTATTATGAGTAGTCTCTCTTTGTGCCTGTTTTTCGGTTATCTTTCAGAATACAGTGTACAAAAGAAGAGCAAATTTTGGGTATTTCTGGGGGTCGCCCAAAGATTTTTCTTTTTAAAAAAGTAAAATGAATTAAGTTAAATGGACAATATCTAGAGGGCAATTGGGGAAAAGGAATGGCAAAATTAAAACATTGACTATTAGATAGAGGGTATATGTAGTAAGGCGCCATTTAACACATAAATCGAAAGAATAAAACGTGGAAAATTGGTCTCCAATAAACCGAAAACATGTTTATTTTATTTCAAAGCAATTCGATGAAAACTTGTTGATAATGACTCAAACGAAATTACATGTCATTTTAATTAACATTCAGTGTAAGTACCTAAATACACAAAAATACTTTTAAAACTGCAAAAAGCATTTTATAAAATTGAAGTTGGTCATATGTAAACACAATAAAGCAAAATATTAACCAGAAAAACAAAAAGAAAAATATTAAACAGAAAATAAAATATGAAGAAGAAAAAATTACCCCCCAAGAATTACGAAATACGACATTTTGCTAATAATCGGGTCATAAGATAAGGTGTCGATTCATAAAAATGATCATTTTTTTATCTTTAAACGTATGCATGGAATAAAATGATCGTAAATCACTTATGAAAATATAAAAATCACTCAAGTTTAAATAGAAACAAATTATGGACAAGGCATGCGCAAAAAAAATATGCTGCAGACAGTTCATTTAAATGCCTTGTCGGAGGCCTTTAATTTAGATGTGGTCCTAGAGTCCTTCCCCTTTCGTTTTTTCTAGAGTATCTAGCAACCCCTTTGGCGTTGCTGCACCATTAATCGTAAGAAAAATAATACGATTTATTTCGTCATATTTTACAACTGCAGACGATAATCAGATCATAGCTGGTAAAAACAAGATGTGTTTTTGAAACACTGATGCCCCCGTATGGCAACTTACAGCAAAGGTTAAACTTTCTCAAATGCAATTCAAATATGCTGGTACCCAAAGTAAGTTCTTGTCCCGAGGAATATACCTGTGAAATATGAAAGCCCTAGCAGCAACCATTAAAAAGATATGGAAAAGGTTAAAAAAATTTCAAAGGTAAGTCAAACATCAAGGTCAAATGGTCAAAATTAATGGTGCCCAAGGAAAGGCCTGCTCACAAGAAACACTCATATGAAACATGAAAGCCCTAGCACCAATCGTTCAAAAGATATGGCCAAGTTTAAAGTTTATCAAAGTAGGTCAAACTCCAAGGTCAAGGTCAAAAGGTTAAAGTTGTTGGTATTCAAAGTAAGGCCGTGTCACAAGGATTACAGATGTGAAGTATGAAAGCCCTAGCACCAACTGTTCAAAAGATATGCCAAGGTTAAAGTTTTCCAAAAGTAGGTCAAACTCCAAGGTCAAGGTCAAAGGGTCAAATTTGTTGGTATCCAAAGGAAGATCTTGTCACAAGAATTACATATTATGTGAAGTATGAAAGCCCTAGCACCAACCGTTTTAAAATAATGGCCAAGTTTAAATTTTTTTCAAAAGTAGGTCAAACTCCTAGGTCAAGGTCAAAGTTGTTGGTGTCCAAAGGAAGGTCTTGTCACAAGGATTACACATGTGAAATATGAAAGCCCTAGCCGCAACTGTTCAAAAGTTATGGCTAAGGT